CTGGCCGAGTTTACGTCTGGAGAACGCCATCTCAAGCCTATAATACAGACCGCTTTTGCAGAGTGAAACATGGGGGGCTTCTGTTATGGTTTGGGCAGCCATATCGTGGTTCTGCTAGCCCCATGAACTGGTCAGGGCACATGATGCCAATACTTATGTGAACATTTTGGCCGATCAAGTTCATCCCATGGTACAAACTTTGTTCCCCCGAGGTGATGGTCTTCCAAGACGACAAAGCCCTGTTTCAACACAGCTCACATTGTCCAGGACTGGTTTTCTGAGCACGAGGATGATCCCATCTCCCTGGCCACCACAGTCATCAGACCTGAATATTATCGAACCTTTGTGGTCTACATTGGAACGGAAAGTGCGTTTCGTTATCCACCGCCAACATCGTTATCTGAACTTGCACCGTTTTGCAGGAAGAATGGTATATATTCCCTTGGCAAACAACAGGAACTGTTTATCCATTCCAAGACTGCAAGTTTTGGATGCCAAGGGTTCCCTACACCATTTAAGCAAAGAAACATGTTTTTTAAGGTGTTTCCAATTTTTGCAACCCTGTATTTACATAGTTTACGTGAGCGCTGCAGTTTGCAATACAAAGAAATGAATAAACCATTATTTCCGAATTTAATTGAGTCATAAAACACTTAATATATACTTAATATGCAGTGTATATACTTAATATGTCTTATGTAAATAGAATGCCGGGATGTTTTGTACAATCATATATTTAGAATACAGTAAGAATTTATTTTTTAAATTTAAATTTCCACAGTCACTTTTTATAATCTTTTTGAAAGAAATTGTAGAGTTATTCTTTAATATTGCACAACATACCTGAATATTGCAAAGGCATTAGGTTATATCGATGTCAGGAACTTGAAAAATGTACAGCACCCTCGGGGGACTCGAACTCTGGACCTCCCGAACACGCGTCGAATGTGCTTCCAGTTAACCATGCGCCCACCAGCGGCCAAGCGGTAAAGTGGCTGAACACTGGTAGTTCGGTGCGAGGTTCGAATCCCGCGAACGGGCTGGCTGCATGGGTGTTTTCGTGGTTTTCACCTTGTGTAACGTGTATATGAGCCAGTTTCCCTTAGAAAGTCCTCCACGAAGGTATCCCTCCCCTTAGGCAGATAGCCCTAGTGTGCTTTGCCATAATTAAATACACCAACACCAGTTAACCACGCAGGCACGAGGAAAGGAGAAAATACCTTATAAAATAAACGGCTTTTTTGCACATGATTGGATTATGCCAATTTACTCCCTACTGATCTTATTTTTTCACACTATAAACCTAGGTTTAAAAATTTTTCAGGCTTCTATTTAATTTATATGACGAACATGTACTTAAGGTAAAGAAATTATGCATTGCCTATCATGGAAAGAACATGTAGTTAAGGTAAAGAAATTATGCATTGCCTATCATGGAAAGAACATGAAGTTAAGGTAAAGAAATTATGCATTGCCTATCATGGAAAGAACATGAAGAAAATTCTTAATACCATGATAATTTTTAAAGATATCATGGCGTAATAATCTCTACATGTAATAAAAGTAAGAGTCTGTGTGCGTGCCTTTCGTTCATGCTGCGCGTAAGCTAATAGACTCAGGACTACGAAATTTGGTACATAGGTGCATCTAGACAAAAGCCAGTGCACATCAAAGCGATTTTTTCAAAATTCGAATCGTATTTTTTTTTTTTATTATATATCGCATCATTCTGAATAGTTTCATTCTTTTAGAAATGTGGTTTTGGCAACAGTTTTTCATTCAATGTTTTGTATACTGAACTGATGACTGTTGAACATATGAGATAAAATGCTGCTTATTTTCGTTTGATTTTTGGACGCGCAATCTTCTCATTCTGACGCGCATGTGTGTCGCGAGAAAGAATTTCTTTATTTTTCCACACTCTCTCTTTATTAGCTAATGGCAAAGAGGTTTGTATATTTTGAATTATCCACAAAACCCAATTTCAGTTGGCTAATGCTTTCTGATGAAAGTTTCATTCTTTTAGAAATGTGGTTTTTGTCAACAGATTTTCATTCATTGCTTTGGATACTGGACTGCTGACTATTTTCTCCTGAAAATATGAGATATATTGCTTATTTCATTGTTTCATTGTTTTTATATTATGTTTTAATTATATATAATTTTAATTATATAAAAAGTTTTGCATGATTGTTTTCAGGAAACAAAATTCTGAACTTGCTATATACCAGTTGAATTCTTAAGATTTTGCAGCGGGCTGCAGAGTCAAATTATGTGCAGTTTTTAAATTTAATGTTTGATCCCTTTAGTCATTTTTATGGTAAACAACAGCGTGTACTGTGTAATTTATGTTTTGTTGTAAGAAAAGCAAATTTTGGTATTGCTTTTGGTATCATGGAGTCATCACGAAATGAAATGTAATTGTTATATAGCGTCTTCAGGAAAAATTACCAGCTGTTTTATGAATGTCGTGAAAGGAATCATGAGCCGGTAAGTAGATTGTGAATAACAGTCATCCTTTCGCTTTGTGTTAGTTGCTGGAGGGACATTGCCATCTGTTGCTTTAACGAGGAAAGCGATCCCTGGAGAGCTGCTTGAGGAAGAACACTGCTTTTTAACAAACGGTTAATTTACGCTTGATTGACAAAATATCCAGAAGAACTAAAATTAGGAAAAGTTAAAATTATTGCTAACAAATCCATTATAGAATGCTTGCCATTGCAATAGCTTCGAAAAAGAAAGGGCTTGACTTGCTTTAAGTCAAAAAGTAGACAGCCTGTCTACTAGATCTATTATTTTCTTGTGATACGATTTGTTGGACGCAAGGTATCACAGGGTGTGGAGATGAGCAAAATATGATAGTCGCCTTTTTTGAGAAAAAATGCACAATGCATAAATTTAATTGCTGCGTGGTTATAACTGGTTTTAAAAATGCTCTGGAATAAGTAATATTAACCAATTAAGAGGAAATAAGATGCTGTTACATCAGCCAATGATTTTTAATTAATAATTAGGCCAGGAGTTAAATAAGGAAGATATTGTTGGAAATATGACTTTTTGATTTTTATTTGGATGAGGAGAGCAAACGATAGGAAAGAACTGTGCGAAATGACTGAGAAATAAGAAGTCTTGTTCGACAAATGGTGAAGTGTTCCAGGTTTATAGCCATTTAGGAAATGACTGACAGATCAATGTTACTGTCCTACGGGGATGAAGTATTCAAGTTTTACAGACATTTAAGGGGACTCATACACCTTAAAACCAGCAAGACCTGCGAATATGTGACTGTTGCAAGAATAGGAATAACGTATTTATTTTAAAAACAATTACTTCCAACTTTTTACAGCTGATTACATAATATAGCTACTTTCTGAAATAGTTATCAAAAAGTTTGTGTTCCAAAATATTTTATCAATTATCCGCTTCTGACAAAATATTTCGTTTTTCCACCTTGCGCGCACATTTTAAAACATTCTGTTGATATTTAATTCTATATTTAATATATACATTTATAACATTTTGGAAACTACTGTGAACCTAAAATTCTAAATTTCATGTTAAATTTTTATTTTATTTGAGTTGAGTTTATAAATGATTTTGTTAAAAAATTTGTAATCTTTTCGTCCATAAATTTTTCAATATTAAAATATTCACCAGATTTTTGGTTCGTTAGAAAATAGTGCCCATAAAGAATTCCTTCATCAAATTTCAAGGATGTACCATTACCTTTTTAAAATATCATGGCGCGGTGGAAACATGGCAAATATTTTCACAAAGAAGATAAATTACAAAAATATTTGTGGCACAACTTTCGTTACTAGTTTCAAAAGCACTATATTACGTAGTCAGCTGTAAACGTTGAAGTAATTGCTAAAATATAAATATTCCAATTCTTGCAACAGTTGCATATTCGAAGATCATAAGGGGTTTAAGGTGTATGAGCCCCCTTAAGGAAAAGACTGAGAGATAGAGATCCCTCTCTGATTGGGATGAAGTGATCCTGATTACAGAACTTGAATGGAGACTGTTTTCGTAGAGTCTTCGTGATCTTGAATTCGACTTCGGATTGGGATGTGATGAGCGAGGTCGAGATTGAAGGTTCTTACCTACAACGAACTTATTTGTTGCCATTTCGAAGGGTCGTCTTCTCTCCCGATTTGGAAATTCTATTGCAGTTTAGGATCTGTGATTATTTGTGACAAAATATGTAACGACTGTGGGTAATGCTCAGGTTTAAGAAGTGATTATATAGAGATTCTTCAGGGCTGATACTTAGTATGTTGGAGAGAATGATTTTTAGAATTTTGGAAAGAGAATGATTTTTGGAAAGCGGAAAATTGAAGTCTACTCATGTAAGTGCCCTTCACCTCCTTCTCTCATGTAATGACAATTATGTAAAAATTAATACACTAATATGCATTAAGGAGTTTAGATCTAAGGTTAGATTAAAGTCCATTGTTTGCAAGTTTATTGTGACGTGTTAACACGGAGCTTAGGAAAACCCTAAAATTGAATTATGGAAGTGTAAATGTGTTAATCTGTATATCATGTTAAAAGCCAAAACAATGCTGAATTGTTTTATGACATGAACTTGGGACATGAACATGTTTTCAATTATTTACGGCTATTCTTAACCATCAAATTGTTTATTTGGAGTTAAGATTAAAATTTGTATTTTCTCAATTTTTGTACGTGATTGTTTACCACTTTTATTTTCCAGTTGTATTTATACTACATAATTCACTGAAACTGAATTGCTTTTTTTCTGGGTTTAACACTAAAAACTGCTGAATCCGTTATATCCGTTATATAATACGCTTCAGGGTAATGATGTGTGTAAGATGCTTGCTTAGAAGGCTACAAAAATCGTGAATTTTTGAGCTTCCTGATGAAATAAAGAATCCTTCATACAGAAGAATAGAATGCACGTTTCTAGCTGTACATGGAAATTTTTATGCTTTTTCCAGCTTTTTAGACAGGATTTACACTGATTGGGAGAAGGGGGAATGCAAAGCGGGGGGTTACCTGCATTGCATAAAACAGATGAATAGGAAAAGGCTTACTCCCAATAGATTTCACTGGAGAGCTTGGAGCCGCTTTGAGTTGCATTCTCCTAGAAGGGAAAAAAGTAAATTTTAAGCTTAGCGTAGACAAAGAAACAAAAAACTGACTGAATTATTTAAATTTTAAGAATTACATTTTTACACATGAGAAAAATCATCAGTTATAAAAATATTACAAAATAGGTAATGACAAAATTCATCCTACTCAAGTACGATAATGTAATTTAAGCTTCCACAACTAACTTATAGGGCAAGCTGATCTGTTGTCATCATTTGCTGTTATAAAAAGATAGAAATCATTATTCTGTTATCATCGTGGATTATTTTCATCATGTAAACTTATAAGGTCTTTTATGCTAGTTATTATTTGATTTTTATGGATAATAATGTACTGAAATAATTAAGTAGTATCGTTAATAATAAAAAGGCTGGGTATACACGTATAGCATGGCTTGAAGTTATTAATAGACCAGCTTGCTTAAAATATTTTAATTAGAAACCAACTAAGAACTAGAACTAGAAAACTAGACTAGCTATTAGAAACTAAAAGCTCTAACTAGCTATTATAAACTAAAATTTACATTACTGTAATTTAAAATCTGAAACATTTCAGATTTTTTGTGCGTTTTTTTTAATGTCTTGTTTTGTGTTTTTTTTTACTGTATAATAATTACTTGCTTTAGAATGTACCTTATTGGTTTTATTTGTACTAAAATTTTGCAGTAACCTCAAACAGCTATATAAATTATTATTATTATTTTTTACCTTACAAGGAACACTCTACCATAAATGCACACAAACAGGTATTATCTGTAATAGTCTATGCTCCGTAAATCAGTCTGCACACATTTTTAGCGTGTGTACTTAATTCATTTAGTACTTAACATGACAATATTTATGTTAACGCAGTTTAGCACTAATTTAATGTATCTGTAATTATTATTAGTGCATAAAATGGAATATATAAGTTTTGCCAGTGTAATTTGCCATTAGTGTTTGCGTAATGTAAACACAGCATGTATTTGTTACGGTGAAACACCGAAATCTGGAGAATGTCGACTTTCACCGGTGAACGCCAACATTCACATTGTCTCTTGGTGTATGTCCGAAATATTTTCCAAATACTCTTATTTCTGACTTACACCGGTCAATGTTGACATTCACCATGTACTAATGGTGAATGTTAAACATACAACAATATTATATTTTCTTCTCCGTCATTCAGTCGCGAATAAACGCACTTGAGACTTGAAATAAGAACTTACGAACATGAGAACCTAAAACACACAATACATTCAAAATGAGAAAGGAAAATAATAGAAGTTAAAAACTTACTTAATTATACAGTACATTCTAAATGAGAAAATAAAATAACAGTCATAAAAATCTTACTAAATTATGTGATTCAAATCTTATTTATTGCAACAACTTGAACTATTATGGCACTTTATGACCTCTATTTTCGACTTTCACCAGAGCATATCTGTGACTGTCGACATACACCGGTGAGGGTCCGAATATACAAGAATGTAGTGAAATATTCGGTCTTTCTCCGACGTATTTGGTGAATGTTGATATTCTCTGGTGAAAGTCGACATTCTCCAGTTTTGGGCTTTCATGGTAACATATTCATGCACAGTTTTATTAACCTAATTTGTAATTAGTTTTTCGACTTTCACCAGAGCATATCTGTGACTGTCGACATACACCGGTGAGGGTCCGAATATACAAGAATGTAGTGAAATATTCGGTCTTTCTCCGACGTATTTGGTGAATGTTGATATTCTCTGGTGAAAGTCGACATTCTCCAGTTTTGGGCTTTCATGGTAACATATTCATGCACAGTTTTATTAACCTAATTTGTAATTAGTTTTGCTTCAAAATTTGTAATGTATAAATATTTCTACAGATTTCATCTTTACATCTGCACTTGGAACTACACCCTCTCTTTATTATATTTATATGCGTAACGTATACCATAATGCTGAAAAGTATCTGAAATAGTGTATTGAGTTAGCAGAAGTATGTAACATATTACAAATATGCAAAGTCCTAGTAATGTAGTATCTACAGAATAACTCATCTAAAAATATAATTGTAATTAATGTCAGAAAGCACTAAAGCTGTAAGCACATTGTACTCGAGGTACTGCCCTCTCAAGTAACATCTGCTTTCCAGTGCTTAAGATAAGCGGTCATCGGGATTTACCATAGTCTCAAAAGCAGTGCTCCCACTATGCACTTTCTCTCCATGTTCTGGTCCTTCTTTCAGTGTTCCTCATTTTACGTAGTTAGTTCCCGGAGGGCATGGTAATAAACTTCAGTTTTTGTAAAACGTTTTCATTATTTTATTTCTAGCCCAAATGGGCTAGAATGGCGATTAGTCTCAAAACGGCATTTTGCGTCGAATTACTATAAACGTCTGTATCACTTTTCAAATTATTGTCACCAAATATTATCGCCCTGTATTAGATTTAAGGAGACTAAATAATGAAAAATCTACATGAATGTATGTATGTTTCTCGCAATTTGAAAAAACAAGGGCAACTAGAGTCATCAAATTGTGAATAACAAAGTCCTTCACCCGAATATGGGCAACTGGAAGCCCGAATTTGGAATTTGGACCGTGCTTTATTGTCTGTTTTGTGAGGATTATGTTAATTTTTATTAACATTTAAATTTGTAAGTTCCTTTCCTGTCGATTCTTAACTTCAACTTACTACTTCCGGCCAGAACGTAGTTTTAGAATCACGTCTGAATACATAATAAGGAAGAGCGGTACTTTTAACCGTGCGAAATTCTTCGGGTCTTAGTGAAGAGAGATACCAAGGTATTCTGGTCTGCACGCGTCCACCTTTTTTAGGCTACTCTCTCGTAAGCTATTATTACGCTCGGCCGTACTTTAGGCCTTTGATAGCTTCGCAGTCAATTAACATTAAGGGGCCAACTCGGTTAAAATCTTGATAGCTTCGGCTATCTCTTTTAGTTTAGATTAGTTTTAGTTTAATTCTTAGTCTCTTGAGTTCAAGGCCAAGTGTCGGCTTTTACTGTACACTCCAAGACGGAGTTCTGTTAAATCTTATTTGAATAATAAAGGATTAGTCACCCTTCCATCTTGTTTCCTGTCACACGAGCTCAAGCGATTATTCGTTTAGCAGTTCTTAAGATTCTTCACGTTCAACAGTAACTCAGCATTACAAGTATTTTGGTGTATTTTATTATGGCAAAGCACACTAGGGCTATCTGCCTAAGGAGAGGGATGCCTTCGTGGAGGACTTTCTAAGGGAAACTGGCTCGTATACACGTTACACATGGGGAAAACCACGAAAACACCCATGCAGCCATCCCGTTCGCGGGATTCGAAACTCGGACCGAACTACCAGTGTTCAGCGACTTTACCGCTCGGCCGCTGGTGGGCCTCAGCATTACAAAGTGAGGAACTCTACAATTTAATATTTTGTAATTTTTGATTATAAACTAAATAATTTGAAAGTGAGCAGTGGCAACACTGTACGAAAAAGAAAAACATTTTTATCTCCAGCGAGCGAAACCGTCTATCGTAAATTCCAAAGATATGCTGTTTTTAAATATTTTTAGTCCAACGTGGCGTTATCCGAGATGCTCTCGAAACGGGTATGTGTCTGTAAATGAAAAACACGCACGTGAAAGGGCCTAATGTAAACTTTGAAAGCTTTCAGACTGTGTTTTTTTATTTTATCCTTATTTATTTATTATTCCATCCGTCTCCCAACAAGCTGATAAGCATCCAACCCAATGGACGAGCTGTTCTGTCGATGGCGAAAAGAAAAGAAAGTATATGCAAACATAGCCTTGTCCAAAAGATGAATAGAATAAATTTTTAACCCAATATATGTTAGATCATTAGATCATTTCTTTTTGCCTAGTATAGCGATTTGAACTTTCTTTTACATTGTTCAGTTTTGATTTCGAATTTCTCTTTAATATAATGAGCTTAAAATATTACCTGAAATGGTTTTAAAAATTCAGTCAAAATTTATATGATGCATGTGCCCTTTTCAAGCTATTCTAAAAAGCTTTTTTAAAATTCCGAGTTTGCTGTCAGATTATAGCTAACAAAATTTAGTCTAACTAATTAGAAAGGTAATAAACTTCAAAGTCAGGAGTTTTAACTAACGCAAACTAGAAGAAAATTCTAACTCGTATAATTAATTCTAAACTGAATTAAGGTTAAGATGTAACCGTGGCAGAAAATTGCTCTGTTTTCTTTTCTTCGGTGATGAAATAGCGTTTTAAGTACTACATTCAGTTAATCTTTTAAATGATGTGCGAGGAATTTAAATGAGATAAGAAGTTTTAAACGAATTAAAGTTTAACAAATTAATGTAATTAAAGATCCATATACTGCTACAATTTTGAAAGGTGAACCGGATTTATTATTTATGCAAGACTTCCTTAATCATATCAAGTATAAAACACTTTATGGTTTCTTAGCATTAATTAAAGTGCTTTGGTATGCAAATTTAAGACCATGATTCGAATATGCTTTTGGCATTGGGAACGAATGGGATTTTTTTAAAAATATATAATATTTTATTATTTTATTCATATAAAGACAATATTACAAGTAAGAAAAATTTGTTTTTGGAATTACATTCAATTTATTTAGGGAAAAAGATTCTTAATTTCAAATTTTAATTACAGTTGAACCTTACTCATTAGAGTTCAGATTATGAAATTCAAATCGGAGTTGAATAAAACTGTTTATTTGTTTTTGAACATTAGAACAACGCTTCCCTTCACAATGTATAATAGAAGACATGTAAAAGGCTGATATAAACTACACACATAGGCTAAAAGTATGAAAAAGCAAAATTAATTTTAAAAAATTTAAATGTTAAAAAACTTGTTATGCACTGATACGTAGAAATTAAAAAGAAAAAACGTACAAAAAAAAATACGTAAAAGAAATTTAAAGTGCTATTAACAAATTACAAAACAAATAGAATGAAATACCGAAAATTTAACAAATAAAAATGATTTTAATTCTGTTATTTAATATGTAGAAGAGGAAGACTGGACCTATAATACTCAATACTTAAGATTTTTGAATATATGCGTAAAGGACATTAGGAACTTTTTGGAAGAGAAACGCGAGAAATCAGCCGTACCCCACCCCGCATTCGAGCCACGCGCTTTTCAGCACTTGTTACCACTTACAGTACAAGAACCGCACGAGGGAATGTTATAATTCTTTACATTCTTCTCCACATATAGGATGAATAGAAAAGGTACGAAACTTAGTTGATCAAATACAGTTGTCAACACTGTATAACATCCACATAATGTTATACAGTTGTCAACACTGTATAATATTCACATAATGTTATACAGTGGCTGTAATTGTCATCCATCACATTTCAGTTCAAACGCTAATGCAGATATATATTTGTTGAGCATGAAACATAATAAATGTGGGCACTGTGTTCTAGCCCGGACTCGAACCACAAACTTTCTAATGTTAGGTGGATTTGCAACCACTTAACCATGACAACACGTATAGGGCAATTATAAATATCGGGTCAGTCCATAAGTTCGAGCGCATTAAGAGTATGCGTGGAATTCACTATGACGCATTTACTGAAACAATACAATTTTGAACCTGTTGAAACTTGTCATCGTTTGACTAACATATTATTCAGTTCATCACCAACTTTCGTAAATGTCGAACGCATTTTAGTACCCATAGAAGATGAATATACGTAATCAGTACAAGCATGCTGTGCTACATTTCTTATTTTCGGTGTGGTGAATTTGCCAGGTTTGCAGCGATAAAAATTAATAGTGCACACGGTGAACAGGCTATTAGTGTAAGGACTGCCCAGAAATGGTTTAAAAAACTTGGGCTTTTAAAAATTTCTGCGCAGTTCTTGCACTAAAGTCCTTACACTAAGTTGTAAAAAGCAGCATTGATGATGAATCCCGTTCAGGACGTTTTGAACTGTTACAACCAAATCAAACGATTAATTCAGAAGTTTGTAGTGAACAACATTGCCGTCTAAACTCAGAATGGATCAAAAAACGCCCATGATTGGTGAGTATCAAGAAAATGTTGTTTCATCATGATATATCGCTAGACCACATACGGCTCGAACAACGCTGCAGAAAATGAGTGAATTTAATGGGGATCTTTCGCCATATCCTGCTTACTCCCCAGATATTGCCCCAAGTGAGTTTCACTTATTTCGTGCCTTACAAAATTTTTTACTGGGAAAAAATGAAATTCTAAACAGGATGTACACAACGAACTTTCAAGAGTTTTTGCATCAAAACCAGAGTCTTTCTACAGCAATGGCAAAAAAAAAGCTGCCTGTAAGATGGCGAGACATGTAGATAATGGAGGAAAATATATAATTGATTAAAATGTTAAATTGTGTTTTTTATAATATTTAAAAATTTACCAAAAAATTCGCACGAATTTATGGACTAACCCAATAAATAATATGGGATTGATTTTGTGACATTCCATGGCTTTCGCTCAGTTCTCCGAATTTTGCTGCAGCAGACGTTTTATATGGAATTTGTAAAGTCTGGATTTCTTAGAAAGCATATACTATAGACTTCAAAAGGTCTATTGAAGAATTATCTTCCAGCCCCTTGTGAAACGAAACTAAAGAAGTAAGTACGGTGTATAAGAAAGATTCTTTTATTCGAACACCACTTAACAGTTACCCAGCTTGTGTTTACAACAGCCAAGCACTTCAGGTTTAACAGGAGTATGTAATGTTGAACAAATTCAAAATGTGGTAGATCAGCCTAACGGCTGAAAAGATAATTAAACGCTCAGGCAAGGCTCTGGTTTTGTAGAAAACCGGCCAGACAAAGCGAAATGGCTAGAAGCACTCAACGCCACAAAATCAAGTCACTAATAATCACAGCACAGCATGGCCTGGAATAGGCAGACACGCTGTAAAAACTAACTTCCGAAACCTTTGCTTAAATAGCACTTTATTCTATATTAATTTGAAATTTAGTCTAATGTTTAAAACATTAGACTAAATTTATAGATATTAAAACCAATTACTTTTAAAACAAGGTGACGTCATTGATTACATCATCCACAGCATAAAATTATATAAAATATCATAAACAATAAAATTTTTATTTCAAATAAAAATGCAAAATTAAACTGATTTTTAATATTTAGAAGCCATAAATAATATTAAAACACGGAATTCGTACATAATAAAACGCATTATTTTTTAAATAAAATGACAACAAAGTATCGGTTACCATAAATAACTTGTCCAGCAATGGGTTTACCATAAGTCGTATCGCTCGCAAAAAAAACAAAGTCGCCAAAAATCCGTGCAACCGTCTACCAAAGTAGCACCATTATTTCTTGAAAAGTTAGCAGTAAGTAGAACCAGAACTCAAAGATTTTTACGGCAGCGAAACCTGTCTAGGACATCTAATTTTTGAACAAATGGCATTTGTTGAAAAGTTTTGATTACAGAGAAACGGAAAATGTTATTTTGGTCAAAAAGAAGAACCTTAAAATTTTGCACTAAAGGACAAGAAAGTTATGACTGAGGTGGGAAGAAAACCAAAACTCATAAATTCGCTATTGCCCACCATTATTAGTCAGAATGTCCCATGCTTATTCACAAAGCCTACAGACCGTTTCTGCTGCTGTTTGCTCCGATTGGTTAAAACAGGAAACGGTTGATCTTTACATTATGGTAACTTGGCGTTTTTTTTGGCGAAAATTTGGCGACCAACTCTCCTACAGCAACCTTATATTTTTTTTTCCCGCCGCCATTTTGTCTTCACGAAGTAAAGACATGTTTCTTTTCTTTTATCTACTGAACACTTCTACCAACAATCTACTAGCCGAATTACACTTATGCTAGAAATTTTATCCAACAAAACTGCTTAATCATGACAAATATTCACTGCAAAATTGGGAAAAAGTGCACAATACCATACTCCTTACGCGTTTTTCAAAATAACACATACACATAAACCATGTACACGCCGACTTATTTTTACTTAGAAAAACATCCTAGAATTGCACAAAAATGGCATTGCGCACACTCTTCACTATATCCATGTACACTGCCTTTTTCTCAATTAGAAAAATTTCACGAAAATACATGACAATTTTCTCAATCTTTAAACCCGGTTAAAAGAACATATATGAAATTACCTGATCGCGAAAAAGTATTTACCCTTTCCAAATATGAACATTTCCACGTATAAAATAAATAAAATATCCAAAAACGTTTACCTCTAAATCATCTATTACATTATACACGTCACCAACGAATTCATACCGTAACCATTACAAATACTTAGTGTCAGATATTTAAATTATTTCCATGCACGTTTACTTCAACTGAAACGTATACCAAATTCCTACAAACATAAAATTCACAAAATAACTATCATTTAATTAAAATATAATTAAATTCAAAAACACTACTTAAAATATAAATGAGCACATACATTAAATTAATACATACATAAATACCCATTTCGAATTCACTTTAGTTACGGCCATGGGATCCAAAAATTCACGAACACTGTTTCACACAACACAGAATAAAGCCAAATACAAAATTTCCAGATTTTTTCCCGATTTCCCCCCTTTTCCGATTAAAGAACCGTAATTCGTCCATTAATATCACATGACATATCCCATGATCTCTCATTTCCCTCACACAAAATAATGCGTAATCGGAACTGAGTACTGCTCACATTATTACCAAAGTCCCAGGTAGTAACCTTTATCGCCTCCAAAATGTCGCCAAACTACCAGTTACCATATTGTAAAGATCAACCAATCAAACTGTTTATAGAATTGTGAAAGAATCAGAGTACACAGTAAAGTTACCCAGGACATTCATGAACAGTAGTGTAATTCTGTGTCCCTATCTCTTATCTATACAAGTGGCTAAGTAGTTAAGACCACTGGCTTTGTATACAGACATACAGTGAATAAAATATATTCCACACAATTCTTCTAAGCTTTCATTCATAAACTAAAATAATATCGAACGAAATAACGTTTGTTTTGCGTTAATTACCACGCCTACAGGGAGATAACTCGCCATTCCAAATATGACCGCCAAGCAGATGTTTCCTCCAATGAGAGCAGCCCGTAGGGAAATGGTCTGTAGGCTTTGTGAATATGCATGTCCCATTTTCCATTTCCCTGCAGTGAAATTTATTCGAAGAATGTCTTACATTGGTGAATTTTCTGCAGACGATTCTCGCTCAGAAATATCTTTCGGTCCTGATTATCTGTACAGCAGAATTTCAAGAATTTCTTTTGTTTCTTTCCTTTTCTTTTCTGCCAATAGGTGGCGCCAGAAACTTCTTTTTTATCAATTAACCAGAACATTTTCGAATTTCCTTCTCTTATTTCCTCAAGCACGTCATATAACAATTTCCCTATTTTCTAACCCCGCAGCTGAGAAAAACGGTTGGCTTACAAAACCAGAATTCTGCAAATTTACTTACTATGTTGTGCATTTGTGTTGCTTATTAGCATTATCATTCAGTATTTATGTTGCTCACATAATATATTAGAAAAAATAAATGGTATAATTTGCCATACCTCTTGATTTCGCACGTGACATCTTGTGACATTTTTCGGGTAAACCGGACAAACAGCCCAAGGAACAGTTGCTTGAAATGTAGATGCCATATAGAAGACTGTGTAGCAGACGATGACGTTGTAGTACACGCAGATAACGAGAGATATGGTGACCATTGCATATCCTATACCTAAAAGAAATTGTTTCTTTTAATAACACGTAACTCGCTTTATCTTAAGGAAAAGAAGATAGTTTGAGGCACCATAATACAAACTTTGTTCAGTTTCATCAATTGTCAATTATCGATCGCTCCAGAAAGAAACTAATTTTGCTGCTGGCTGTGTTGAGGAGACATACTAGTAGAGGCTGCAGTCATAACAAAACCTTTCAAATTAATATGTGAAAAAAGATATCAGGTATTGAATATATATAATATTGTATCCGTATGTATAATATTATATATATGTATGATACTGAATATTTGTAATATTGTATGTGTATATGAATATGTATCTTTCTACTATCTGGACTTCCATGTGTACTTTTATTTTTTTTAAAAGAACTAAAGTATTAGGGATTATTTTATGTATTTTCCCTTTTTAAATACATAATTAAATGTGAAAATATTTTTTTTTTCTTGCAGTCTCTGTTACTATGCACCTGATAATTATTCGCCTTCTTGGAATTCTGAGATTGAAGCGCCTGCTGTAGGACCTGGTTTAGCGCCATATTTTTATTAAACTACTTTTCCAATGATTTTTATTAATTTAGGGCAGTGTTCAAGAATACTTTTAATATGATGTGCATTTTCCAAGATTCTTTTCTATGAATTGGTATAAATTAATGACTTTTATGACATTTTTCATTATGAAAATTTAAAAAAAAATGAATGTTTTAGAATTCATTCGATGTCTATTGATCGGTTACTCACGATTCTCATTTTAAAGATCAGTGTTCTCTAAATTTATAAAGGTTAATTGGACTTTTGATACTTTTCTCTCCTTTGTAAATGTTTAGCTGGAGAGACTTTTAATAAGCTTCATGCTGTTATTTCTATCTAAAAATGTTAGTTTAATCTAGAGTGAGAATTATAAAGTTAGTAATATATATATATATATAAAAGCCGACTGCAGTACTGAAATGCCCGGGTTCGAATCCCGGAGAAGGCATGTATGTAAATTGTCTTTCCTCCTGTAGGAGGTAATGTTGGCCGCCTGCCAGGTACCTCCATAATAAACTGACTACCCCTTCTGGCCTTAGTAGTAATGGAAGTTCACAAAAGCCTAGCGCCATCTATAAATACATACTATATGTAAGAAAAGTAAAGAACGTGTGAAAGATAAATTTCCCACTGTATTCTAAAAATACTAATCCCTCCTAGCATTGCGTCATTTTGAGACTAAACCATGACTCTTACATAATTCTGATGATGTAAGTGGAACTAAAAATCAAACAGCCAATAATAATTTTACAGCAGTATTAATTATCCAATAAAAATGCATTGAGAACCAAAACTAAATCAGTCTGAATAAGGATTTGATCCTGAACATAACTCATTCGTTTTCTACATTTCGGGTTAAGTTCCTACTGGAGTCTGCAGCTCTCGTTCTTAATTGCAAATCTATCAAAAATGTAATCATTTTGAAATAGGCACGAACAATGAGCTAAGCTGTTTGTAGCCGCAACAGGTTTACTGAAATAAAATAAAGATTTAATCTGCCTCGACTATCTGTTTTCTATTCATTTTGGATTGGCGTTTCAGCATTCTATGCTATCAAAATTCTTGCTCTTAACTGCGTATTCAATCTTCTACGTTCTACACCATCAATACTGTTAAGTCCTTTTTTATTACTGTATACTAGCAGTTTCGCTGCCAGCCTTCGCTGGCTTTTAAATGTACCGGGAAAATGGCTGAAGGCAATACCAAACGTTAAATTTAAAAACTGCATAGAATTTTACTCTGCAGAACAACTTCATAAAAATAAACGTTATTCCGTATAACAAAATTGCAATGAAATAAGCAATATCCCTTAATACAAATATTAATTATCCTAGTAAATAAATTAACCAACTTCCCTTTGCAAAATCTTAAGAATTCAAATGGTATAAAGGAGGTTAAGAATTTTGTTTCCTGAAAAAATCACTCAAAACTTTTCAACATCTTAAAAACAGTGAAATGAGCAATAAATAACATAAAAGAATACAAAAAACAAAAAATTCCGAAAAGCAATGTATAATTAATGATATTTTATCTTATATTTTCAAGAGAAAAAAATTACAATGAAATAAGCTATATCCCTTAATACAAATATTAATTATCCTAATAGAAAAATTAACCAACGTTTCGTTGAAGAACAAAAATCATGCAAAACTTTTCAATATCTTACAAACAGTGAAATATGCAAAAAATAACATGAAAGCAACTCAAAAAAGATAAAATTCCGCGCAGACGTTTACTTTAAGAACAACTTTATCAAAAAAGAAATCAATAAAAATGTATTATATATATATAAAATTGACAATGAAATATGCCAATCTCTTAAAAACAGTGGCATAAGAAATACGATGAAAAATTGTTGCCAAAACAAATATTTCTAAAAGAATGAAACTATTCAAAATGAGGCGATTTCATCAAAAATCTATCAACAACAACAAGACAAGAAAATTGCTGCGAAAATCACATTGCTAAAGATGTGAGATGTGAGAAGTGCACTCGGAAACTTCATTTAAAATTTTTTTTAAAAATACAAAATATCATTTTTTCAAAATTCTTTTTGTAAAAGCAGTCGCAACGATAAAAGTTTAACGTGTCCAAAAATCAAAGAAAAAGAAACTGTACATTTTAAAATAATAATAAACGTTTTTAGAAATAATAAATAATAAACGTTTTTAGAAAAAATCCCGTTGAAAAGGTGTTAAGCTTACTTTGTTAAATAAATTCGTATTGAATCGATTTATTGAAACACGAAATTTATTTTAAGTTCGTAAAATAGCTAAGTGCCTACGTTTCATGACGATGTGAAAATGGAATGTGTAGAGCAAAATCTCGCTTTCCTATAGCCCATTATGTCTCAAAACGACGCGATTTCGTCACAAAACATAAAATAAAAAAAAAAAAAAAAAAAAAAAAAAAAAAAAAAAAAAATTCGAATTCGAATTTCGAAAAAATCGCTTCGAGGTGCACTGTCTCTTGTCTAGATGCACCTATGTACCAAATTTCGTAGCCGTGGGTGTATTAGCTTACGCACAGCGCGAAAGAAAGACACACAAACAGACTCTTTCTTTTATTATATGTAGATATATATAATTCTATCCTTATGTCAATATATGAAACTGTATTAATATAAATATTGTAAAGCCATTTTATTATAAACATATGTTACGGTGAAACACCGAAATCTGAAGAATGTCGACTTTCACCGGTGAATGTCAACATTCACATAGTCGCTTGGTGTATGTCCGAAATATTTTCCAAATACACTTATTTCTGACTTACACCGGTCAATGCCGACATTCACCATTTACTGATGGTGAATGTTGAGCATACGAAAATATTATATTTTCTTCTCCGTAATTCAGTCGCGAAAAAACTCACTTGAAACTTGAAATAAGAACTTAAGAATATAAGAACTTAAAACACACAGTACATTCAAACAAAGAAAGGAAAATAATAGAAGTTAAAAACTTACTTAATTATACGGTATGTTCTAAATGAGAAAATAAAACAATATTTATAAAAAACTTACTAAATTATGTGATTCAAATCTTATTTATGGCAACAACTTAACTATTATGACACTGACCTCTCTTTTCGACCTACACCAGAGAATATCTGTGATTGTCGACATACACCGGTGAGGGTCCGAATGTAGGAAAAGAATGTAATGCAATAATTCGATCTTTTAATAACGGATTTGGTGAATGTTGATATTCTCCGGTGAAAGTCGACATTCACCAATCTCGGTCTTTCACGGTAACATATATAATTATATCGTTATGTTAAAATGTATCATAAATTTGCCACCGATCAACACTATCTGATTCTACCTAGGATCTTCCTAACCTGAGGTTTATTACGTCTTATATGGTGAGGGGAAATATTTTAGAAAGATTGTCCTTGAACCAGAGAATTAAAAGCCATCACTCTGGCTGCCCGTATGTAAACATCGGATGGGATGGGAACGTAACTGAATGCGATGCGAACTTTAAACGAATGCGATGCGAACTTTAAACGGTTCTTGGATATTAGCATACACCTGCCACTACACCGGCAACACTCTGCTGGTGCCTTTTGCACATGAAATATATTTTCAGATCCATGAAAGTGGTTTTTTAATCTTTGGCGAGTATTGTTTGGTAGTCATATTAGAAATCGCGTTAATTGCTAGATTTTTTATCCTCCTCAACATGTCTCTACCTCCATATAAATTCCGTTAAATTATAAGGTATCCCGCCTTCTTAGCATGCCTTCGTGGTGTAGTGGTCAGTACGCTCGACGCGAATTCGAGAAGCCCGTGGTTGGCGGCCTGGCGAGGGCATTGCTCATTTTTCAAGTCTCCTGCTTCCAAATAACCGAATGTCTCTAAACAATAACAAGGTAATTGCATTTTTATCATGAATCGAATCAAGGTATTCGAAGAATTAAATTCCATCGAATCAGTTCTCAGTTCTGATTTTTAAAACTTGTCAAAAGTTATTTCGGCATTATATTATGATATCGTACACCTTAACGTTATGAACAGTTTTTGGGTTATAGAATGAGAACACTCGAGGCTTTTTGGAAAGATGCAGCATATCTGGAAATAAGGTACTGCTTCCGTTTCACTAATCGGCGATAACGTAAAGTGTGCTGAAAATGCAGTGAAATGAGATGAATAAAAGCTGTCCTTAGAATTTTATGCGGAAAAATGGATCCAAAAAAAAGGCACAGTGCGTATGTGCAAGTCATCTAATTGTTCTAAAATGTTCACATATAAAAATGTATACTCTCCATTAGTGAAAAATAAATTAAGAAATGATGTTAAAAAGTCTGTAAGCTTTCAGATTTCAAATTACGCCCAAAGGGGTGTTTTTTTTTAACATTTTGTGTGTTACTTTTATTTATGAAATATCATGTTCTTCGCACTTAAACCATAAATTCAATTCAACAAAGTAGCGCTAAATAATATTAAATGAAGCCTATCTTTAGAATTTCCGATACAGAGTTCGACGCGCTGGAGATAAAAAAAATGTTTTTTTCTGTACAACGTTGCATTTGCTCGCTTTGAAATCCTTGAGTTTGTGAATCAAAAATTCGTTAAAGTTTTACAAAATATAAAATAGATAATAAAACAAATTCCTTTCAAATTGGGTCTTCCACATGCCCATATTCGCAGGAGGATTACGTCATTCAAAATTGGATAGCTCTAGCTACCGTTGTTTTATCAACATGCGAGAAACATACATATATTCATGGATCTTCTTCATTATTTAATTTCCTTAAAATATAATACAGAGCGATAATATTTGTTGGCAACAATTTAAAAAGTGATACGCCGCTTTAGCGGCGCAAAATGCTGTTTCGAGACTAATCATGACATCATACGTATATGTATTAAGCTAAAGTGTCAGAAGGTTTTGTTTCCTGGTTTAACAACAACAAAATTTTTACGAATTGGTTGTTGCTTGGGAAGACTGAGCTGATTTCATTCATACTGAAATGTTTTTGTACGTTTTTTTTCAGGTTTTCAGGTGCACATAGAACTTATAAATTTTGCTTTGGCCGCAGCCCGCTTGTATTAAATAAATTTTTTCTGTATGCCGATAAAGCAGTGCGTGAAAGCTTTTCATTTTCAGTATGTTTCATAAATATAATATAAGATTATACAAATTGTACTTCTAACCTTTTGCAATGGGAAGGCAGCTCCAAATAGCTAGAGGTCCTAGGCCGGCAAACTGTCCGAAAGCTAGCTCCATGAAGTAAAGAGGCTTCCCAGCCAGCAATAGCATCAACAGGTATGGTATAAGGAATGCTCCTAGAAACATAAGAAAATAATTTGAAAGTTGGAATATGTTGCAAAACAATTTGTGATCCTTTTCGATTTCTGAACCTTATACATAAATTATACAGGATTGCAAATAATAAGGCGGGGGTGATTATTTAAAGAACATCTTGTCTGAGAATGAGACCAAATCGAAATTTTAAAAGTTAATTCTGTAAGCAATACAGAATTAAATCTTACATTAGAATGTTGCTCCATAAGTTCTTTTGAGAGATGGACATTTAAATTGATGTATAAATTGTGTAAATTCGTTTTACATAGGAACTTAGGATTCGCCCTTCCATAATGAAGATTTGATCTGATCCTCACTTCTATTGTTTCTTTTATAATTGTCTTTAATAGTCGAAGATTTTAGATTTAGGCACAGTATTAGTTTTATGTTTATTTGACTAACTTTCCAACCAAACGTTATCGTTATTTCATTGAAGTTCGTTCAACGAAAGAAATCAACCTTTTTTTGGGGGGGAGGAGAGGGTCGCACTTCTTTAAATAAAAGGAGCTACTTAAGTTCCCTTAAAAATATTGCCCTGTTCATCTCTGACATAACACAGTATTTCCTGTTCTTACGAATTCTTCGATGCATTGTAGCCTAACGTGTGCAGGATAATATTGAATGGCAACCTTTAGTACGAAAGGCAATGCGATTAGGATAAAATATAAAGAACGATTCTTTATTTAAGATTAATTTCTGTCCTTTTCGAAACAGAATCACGTGCTTGCAAATTTGAAGGCAATTATTTTTGTTTCATATTTCTTGAACTGTTTTGGATACCCGAGCCTCTTATTGTATATGACTTTAAATTGAAATCTTCTTAACAAGCAATTGATTTTGGTATTTTTACATTTAGAACCACTGGAGAGATAAGCGATACGCGACGGAGTACGTGAGCACTGTCCCTTTACCATTTGGGTTAATCAGTATAGCACCACGTCCACCTTTATCTTACATTTCATATTACATTATATATTACGAACAGGCAATTTCGAGTCTTTTTTCACGTATTCGAGCCAACAGAGAAAAGAATCTTCACTCTCTCATTATTAGCTTAGATATTCAAGGAGCCTTTGCCTCTCTGTTGTGGCCAGACATCCTTGATGCCTTGGTGACTATGGAGTGTCCAGGCGATCTCGTAGACCTCATAAGAAGCTATCTCCAAGACCATTCTATTCTATAGTTACTCTAGACTCTGGAATTGTTGCACAAAAATTGCATCGAGGATGCCCTCAGGGCTCATGTTTAGGTCCTGTCTTATAGACAGTGGTCGCAAATTCATTACTCCAAGAGTTCAAAAATACACCCAATTGTTCTATCATGGCATATGCAGATGACTTTATTCTTATTGTAAACGGGAAATCAAAACTACAATCAACAGCACAATATTGCCTTAAGAAGTTCAGTAACTGGGCTAGAGATCATACAATTACTATTTCAGTCTCTAAGACTCAAGCTATGACATTAGGAGCTGTAGCCCCTCTTAAAAGAAAGCCCACAATTAAATTGTAAAGCACCTCTATTAAGGTAGTTCAAAAAGTCAAGTATCTACGTCTTACAATTGACTAATTGACTCCAGACTTTCTTGGCTGCCGCACCTGAAAAATATTAAGAATCGAATTGGAATTTTGAATAATATCGTGATGTGGACCACGGCTAAAACTTGGGGTGTCTCTTCTTCCTTACTAAAAACTTGGTATCAGACAGTCACAGAAAGAATCATTTTGTACTGTGCTGGTGTCTGGGTAACTTCTCTAACTAAACATGAACGCTGTCAACTTCTCTCCATACAAAGAATGCCCCTTCCACAAATCAGTAGGGGGTACCGCACAACTTCGACTGTAGCCGTGCAAGTACTAACTGGTATTCCTCCTCTCGACCTAACTGCGGAGTGAGAAGCAATACATTCCTGTATATTACGACTGAAAAAACACATCACTCTATGAAATATTCACTTTTCAGCTTCAGACTACGAGATAAAAAATTCAGATTATCTTTGACACCCTTCCTATAATGATCTAGATTCTTAGAATTTATCTAGATCGCCTCAGTTGCCAATTCATCCGATCGCCATTTACACAGATGGTTCGCGTACTGAAGTAGGCACAGGCTGTGGTCTGTGTGTCATGCTAAATGGTATTGTGAAACACACATGGAAAAGAAGATTAAGTAATTAAAACTCAATACTACAAGCTGAATTGACAGCAATAAAGAAAGCTATTCAACTCTCCTATAAATTCGATACACAAGCCCATATTTGCAGTGACTCTTTATGTAGTTTGGAGGCAATTGGTGGTATAAATTCCAGAAATCCGCTAGTCACAGAAATACAAAAATTACTTCTCAACATATCAGAATTTCGTCCACGGTTATCCTGGATTCCAGCACATACGAGCATAGTTGGCAATGAGCTTGCGGACGAACTTGCCAAGCAAGCAGCAACTGGCATTAACTTGGCGGAACATCCCTTGCCAATTTCTTATCTTAAAAGGATTACTTATAAGCACTTAATGAACTTTTGACTTCTTTTACGTTTGCTATTGACAATATTATCTACCATTGCTTTAGATACCGATAAATCATGGCTTTTAGAGCATTTTTTAATAACTAAATGCGAATAATTTTCTTCGCAAAGAGCACAAATAGAGTCTTCAGACCCTTGCTTCTTTAAAAGCGCCATTTCGCATGAAAACAAAATTATCAAATGCCGGACGATAATTTACACTTTCACGAATACAAATGCAGCTAAATTTTTTTTTTCCAATCAGGCGATTTTTTTAATAGCAAAGCAAATTCGTCTAAAAAATATACAGCAGCCTTTGTAATCTACACTTGCTCAAAAAAAAAAAAAATTCACAAATGATTTCAGTAACAATAATTATAACATCTATATGAATATAGTTAAAAACAAACGCATGATTGTTTTCTGAAAAATATAATAATCAGAAGCAAGAAGGCGAAAAGGAAAACGAAAAGAGAACAACTTTTACAAAACTAATTTAAGTGTTACATTCGATGATATCTCACGAGACACAGTAGAAGTAATACTTGTAGCTTTTCTTTGAAAGAAAGCCGTCATATTATAAAGAGGTATGAAGTCATTATTTTTCCTTTTATTCATTTCTCTAAGACTGAAATGGGGAAATTTTCGATTTTCTTATTCTCTTCAAGTAAATCCTGAGGATTTTTGAGATTTTCGGTATGAAACTCCAAAAAGGAATTTCGTTGAAAATAATTGCTTTCCTTCGAAAGAATGTTCAAGACGTTTACTTCTTCAGCAATTTCATAAACTTTTCCCATAGTATTAAAGTAAAGTAATTTTAAAAAGAAAGTAAAGTAATTTTGAAAAGAAGTTCTAAATAGCTTTTGCACATCATAGATATTTTTTCCCGCAGTATTTTATATTTTTCCTAAAATATTTCTTTAGAGATTTTAGAAATGCTATAAGTTTTAGCATTCTACAATTCGCAATTATTGTAAGAGTACATGTTTTCAGACGTCACTAAGTTTTTTTTGTGTTTATTCGAATAAATTCTTCTGGAGAATAAAAATTCATTTCGAAGAAAGTTACATAATGTCTGTGTTTGAAAACACGTTGGGTTTTATATTTGAAATACATTTATAAGATAAATTGACATTTTGAAATCAAACGTTTCAAAACATTATAAATAGAAATGTTGTAATAATGGCACTTTTTAATTTTCAGGAATGAAAAAATTGATTTTTTTCCAGTATAATTCATAAAATGATTCATTTTTAGTTTATAATTTTTCTTAAATTAGGCTATTTAATACTAAAATGCATTACAAGAAATTTCATTTTAGAATGTGTAGGAGAAGACGTAAAGCAAGAGTACTACAGTAGACGCTCGTTTTTACGAACTCGTAGGGACTACGAAAACAGTTCGTTAAATCGAGAGTTCGTAATTTAGAAAGGCATCGGAAATTGTTAGTATTTCACATTTTAATGTTTTCGAGACAGGTTAGTGATACTATTCCATGCTTTTATTTATGTATTAGGAATTATTTTTAATAGTATTACTACTTAATAAATGATATCCATTCTATTAAACAAACAAGAAATATAAAATATTTGTAAAACGTACCTTTATTAAGTCATCGAGCAACAAAATAATCACTTATCTTTGTCTGTTTTAAAACAACAGATTGTACAATGCAAGACTCCATCTTCTCTATATTTGTTAGCATTTCACAATTATCACTGGCCTCAAAAAATCGTCTAAGTTCTGACAAGTATTCAGCAGCTTGTTTTAAAGTCGGTTTTGGTGTTACTTCATTTTCTTCTCTTCTTCTTCTGGATCTGAAAGTCTCTCATTCTCGTTGATTATGCTGCTAATAATATCGTGATCCGATATTTCCTCCGTGCAGATGACATTAGAATCCACATTTAAAAAATCCTCGAATGAAAGTTCTGGCAACTGTGGATTTCTACGGCGAAGTTCATGCATGAGAACCTCATCTTCGTCGTGAGATCTATTGTCATGGATTTCTTCAGTTACGTCTGTTTCTTTAATAAAACCTGCATGTCGAAAGGCTTTAGAAATTGTTTCATCTAAAACATCATTTCATGCACTGATTGATAAATGCATTGCACCAAGAATATCAATCTGATAAGGTTGTTCCCTTTCCAAGCCAAGGATTACTCTTTGCAAGAGCACTGTCTTATATTTTCGCTTGAAACTATTGATTATCCCCTGATCCATTGGCTGTAAAACTGCAGTTGCATTTGGTGGGAGATATTCCACACGGATTGCCTGAAGCCCAGTGACTTCCATGTGTGCAGTACAATTGTCCGCGATTAGGAGAACTTTGCGCTTCTCTGCTGAAAAACGGTTATCTAAATCTCTCAACTATTTTTCGTAGATGTTGCCAGTCATCCAGGCCTTATTATTAGCATAATATGCAGCAGAAATCTTCTGAACATTTTTGAAACCCCTTAGTTTCAGATATTTTCCAATAAAGAGCAGAGGCAATTTTTGTGACCCAGTCATGTTGGCTGCAATCAAAACTGTTAAGTCTCTCTTTAGCTTTATTACCTCCAACAAATTTATCTCCTTTGTAAGCTAATGTTCTTTCTGGCTAAATCTTAAAAAACAAAGCCGTTTCGTCCGCATTAAAATCGTCATCTGCAGCGTATTCAGAAAGAAGCAATTTCAACTTTTCTTCTTTCCATTCATTTGCTGATGACGTGTCTACTGCTGCACTTTTCACCACACACTTTCCGGAAACTCAACCATTCCGAAATTTAAATTTCTGTAACCAACCATCCGATGCTTTAAAATCTTTGATGTTTAATTTGGAAGCAAAAAAGTGTGCTTGTTCTTTAAGTACATTTCCATCAATTGGAATGTTTAAGCTTCTCATCTTTCGAAACCAAACAAGCAAAGCCCTTTCCAAATTTGGGTGTTTTGATTCTCGAAAATATTTTCGAGAGGAGGGTCCACATTCATCGCTTCCGTTTTTAGCTCCAAAGATCTTCTCTCTTGCCTTTAAAATCGTCGATAAACTATTTTTAGGAATTCCATATTTCTGAGCAATTTGTCTCTTGCTTAATATTTTTTCGTCAACTTCTTTTGAAATCTTCTTCTTTATTTCAACCGCTAAACAAATTCGTTTCTTCATTTGCGACATAGCTCTAAGAATCTTACTTAACAAAAACTGGCCCAATCTCCCTCTCGACTAACGAGACTTCACTGATTGAGTTGTCCAGATCAAATGACTATGACATTACAAAAAGCAACAACTCTCTTTTAGAAGCAACCCAAACCCCTTTAACACGAATGGTCTCACCCCCACCCAACAACATCAGGCCGATGCTCTTCTGAGAGCTTCCCACAACAAACAACACCATAAATTTGTCCTAATTCCCCCTCTTCTCAGCCCCCTTCTTCCTTACTGTACTTCTTCGAATGTTTCGCACTTGCTGCCTCAAAATAGTGGGAGATTTTATTTGACCTTCACACTTCGTCCCAATGAAACACGCAGAAGTATGAAAACTGAGTTCGCAAAAAAGAGATTTTCCTGATTTGTAGTTCGTAAATAAGAGCGCAAAATTACATTACATCTATGGGAGTGTATTCTGGACCATTCGGTAGTTCGTCAAATCGAGAGTGTTCGTAAAAAAGAGGTTCGTAAAAACGAACGTCTACTGTATTATGTACTTAAAAAAATAGGAACTTGTAAGTAAATAGACATCATAACATATACTTTATTTGAAAATTCAGTCGCTGAATCGTATGCAGTGTTTACATATAAATAAACTAAATCTTAACTTTTATATGAATGCAAGTACATTGTACAACTGTTGTAATCTATGTAATTTGGCTCACCAGCGGCCGAGCGGAAAAAGCCTCTCATTACTGGTAATTCGGTCAGGGGTTCGAGTCCCAGCGATTGGTAAACAGATATTTGAGTCGAGCTTTTATTAACCATCGAAGATTTTTGATTTCCTTCAGGCGTTTCAGAAGACTGTAGTAAAAGCACGAAGGCGAAGACCGCAAAAAAGAACATTGCACTAAATACAGAAACAACTCAAATTTTATTTACAGCTCTTTCAGGTGTTCTATGTGTGAACCGTTGGTCAAACAGCATATATCAGTGTGATATTCGAATTCATGGCAGACTCTATTTAGACTCAGTTCAGTCGTTTCCGGAGCTCAACACGCTCTCTCGACGATGCACTAACCGCGACACTCTACGAGACTCTTTCGGTGCACTCGACGACCCACTCGGCACTCGCTGGCCCGGCGGTCAACGCGATCGCCTCCACAGGGATTGACTTGCTAGACAAGACACACTCACTCGATGAGAGACGCACACTCACTCGCCCTCTCGATGAAGCACACACTCTGAGACACACTAGCTGATTGCGGACCAGCAGGGTTTATATAGCTTTCGGCTTGTGTTTGGGGAGGCATCATGCTTGGCAGTCGTACAGACCTTCACATCTTCGACGCAGGTTCAGTCAACGGGACCCGTTATTGTAACGAGATTCTTCTTCCATATGTGCGTCTTTTTAGAGGCGCTATGGGTCCGCAGTTCCTTTTCATGGACGACAATGCACCATGTCATCGCACAGTAGCTGCCGAACAGCTCTTAGAGAGTGAGGATATTGAACGTATGGATTGGCCGGCACGATCTCCGGATCTCAATCCCATCGAGCATGTATGGGATTTTCTAGGCAGACGCTTGGCAGCTCGTACCTTACCACCAGTAACGATTCCGGAGCTTCGATTGGCGCTGCAAGTCGTATGGGCAGCAATGTCTCAACAACTCCTTGACACCCACATTCTCAGCATGGGCAGACGCTGTGAAACCTGCCTAGCAATCAGGGGAGATCATATCCCCTATTAAAGACCGGATGTTTCTTGCTGGACACCCATCACAGGGATGTTTCGGCCTTCAGTCGCATTGCGCTCCATGCTACTTTTTCAATAAAGCTTCTTTTTATCCCTCTGATTTCTCTTTTAGTAAGTGTTGCTTACATTACTCATGTCCTTACGTATTGGGGATGTGTTGTACGTATTAAATGTGTTGATTTGGAAAGCTTTTGTACAAAGTTATATTGAAAAAACCGTCTCGTCCTTAATTTTTGCACACCATTGTAAAATCATGACAGTTATGTCTACATTTAAACATTATCTGAATTCATATTTGCAATACTTTTACTGAGATAATCAAAGCAAACTTGTAATTCATTCACACATTGACTGGATTTTCAATATCGTTAAACTACTTTACAATATCATTTTTATCAAGTACATGCAAACTGGATAGTAATATGCTTACATTACAATAGTTTTGCTCTTACAGTCCTGTTACTATTTTACGGGGTGAGCTATTTTTCTAGTGTTGATTTTCAGTTGCTCTAGTATTTTGAATTGCTATTAAAATTATCCTGCGAAGATACAATTATTTTGCGTTGCTATTAAAATTATCCTGCGAAGATACAATTCTCAAGGGAGGGGGGAGAATTTTAGTACCTTGCTGAGCATAGCCTGATATGACTACAGCCATGACCATATGCCTGCTGCTAAGCTTGATGTGACTACTATGTCCATATGACTACTACCAACTGTTATTATGCAAAATTTGAATTGTTTCTGTATTTAGTGCAATGTTCTTTTGATGTAATCGTCTTAAGTTTTTTACTATAGTGTTTTGAAACCCTTGAGGGAATTATGAATAACCCTATATTTGGTAGAAGATTTCATATAAAATATTATTTAGGCTCGTATGGTAGGCCATTCGCTGATGTTTCGCATATTAACACCAGTGCACTCTGCTTCATCTGAGGGGAAAACCATCTGTATGAGCTACTATGAACTAGCATGTACAGTGCGGGGGGGGTGAGGACAGTTCTATATCTCCCGTTCTACTGGGCCGATTGATGAAATTCAAATTGTACTTTTCATGTCTCGAAAGCGCAACTTGGATATGTATTAGATTTATATATAGCGTTATTCTAACATAGGTATTTTGACACAAAATCGGACTTTTTCTGAAGTGATATGCCCATGGTTTTCCATATTTCGATTCTACTACTCAAATTATGCCTAAACATTATATTTTGTAAAATTTGGTGCGAAATTTACGGAGAAATTAAAAAAATTATCTTGGCGCATTTTTTTCAGTCTGCGCCAAGAATAATTGCAATAATATCATATTCAGTAATGCACAAATAAAAACTGGAACAGCTTACCACCTCCATGCTCGTAAGCTAAGTATGGAAACCTCCACACATTGCCGATTCCCACCGAAAGTCCAACGCACGAGAGCAGGAATTCCCACTTGGAACCCCAGTTGCCTCTAGATGCTATAGTATGGATGGACAGTTTTCTAATGGAAGCACTGCCCTTGCGATTCGTAACCATGGATGCTCTCCTCATGGATGACCTCGACTGAGCAGAGAACTGCCTTTGCAGAGGTTGTCTATTAGTTTCTCCACGTGGCCCGGATTCTTTGTCTGAATGTCCATCCAGGATTTTGCTAGTGAGAGATTTATGATGAAAAGATACTCGACGATCCATTGCTTAGAAAAAAAATCCTGTAAAAATTAATACATGGTTACATATAATATTGCTGCAAATCTTTAATCTCTCTGTGTTGGATATTTCATATTTTAAAATGACTGTATACCTTCGAACACTTTTGTTTTTAATTTTTAAGTTTGTGCATTAAATTTTGGCTCTAAAGTAATTAATGATGAAAAAAATGAAGAAGGTGAGTTATTTAATGACCATTAATTTTGTATCTTTGGAATAAAGAAGGAAAACAAGCAAAAAAAAAAAAAAAAAAAAAAAAAAAAAAAAAAAAAAAAAAAAAAAAAGCTATAGTTACAGTAAATTAGAAACACTGTGTTAAAAAAAGTATAACATATTTTCTTATTTTGTAAAATGCAAACCCATCATAATGATATTTTCAAGGAGGTGAGGTAGACTATTATTTTAAAGCTAGGAAGTTATTTAAAATTTGTTTAAGCTAGTATGTGTAATATAACAAAGAAAAAGCATATTTTCTCATTAAAATTCATGCCTAACACATAGTAACTTTATAAAAATAAATTTATTAATTATTAAATAGTCTGCCTCCTTACTTCAACTGTTCTAAACATGCATACCAAATTGCATACGATTTCAATGGTAATTTTTAAAGATATCGTGTTTCTTGTTAACATTAGAACACGAAAAATGAAAAACGAGATAAACGCATTTAAAGAATTCACCTACTTTTATTTACTTTTAATCAATTTGTAAACTTAAAATTCCACTGATTTATAACTAATGCCCTCTTGGGTTTCAGAATTTGCATTTTTTTGCTTTCTCGCAGCTTTTAAAATTTGTTTCTGGTTTTAAAATTTTTCTCAAATGCTTTTTAAAGTCAAATGTCAAGGAAATGCCGTTTGTGCGATAGTCGATTAACGGTAAACTTCAAACGTTTGTACTCGTATTAACCAAGTGTATGTATACCAAATTTACCATATCTGTACATAATCTATACCAATATCTGTCTATATCTATAAAAATTAAAATAAAAAAATATGATGTGTACACCACATCACTTCCTTGTACGGAATATTAAATTATACGAATTTTTTCTTGCATTTCTTTTAAACTTATTGGATTCAATTAAATCTACTTCGCCGACAGCGCTTAAACCACAATAGAATAAAGGCATTCTTTAAAATTCACTCTATTTGTTTAACATAGCGACACTCTGGCACTAGGTTCACTTAACAGTATTATATTTCATTCATATTATAACTCAGAATGCACAAAATGTATATCATTTAAAGAATTATCTAATTGTTGCCACATGTTCTTTTCAAATACTATAATAAAGCTAGAACGATGTAAAAAATAAATTAAGCAAACAAAATGAAAAAGAAACAGATTTTCACAGACGATTGAGTATTTCTCATTCAATTAATTCAGTTTCCACTTTGCGAGAAGACAAAAATACATAAAAGCTCAAAATATCTGTATTAAAAATTACTAATTATTAAAAATTAAGTAAATATTATACACTTATTTCCTCGAAAAAATTCCAGAAAGGATTAAGCATGATTTAAATCGCAATAATAAATGAAGGCGTTATTTTTGTTGTTACGAAGCTTAGTCTCTCTAGATTGGCAACAAATCTACAATTCCGCTGTTTCAAATGTAAACAAATATGTCCGCCATGTTATTTAAAACTTAACCGCACTTAAACAGCTTTTAAATTGTTGATAATTGTACAAATATTGCTTCCAGAATTACGAAAGGCATAAAAACCTTAACCGGAAGATAAGAACAACATAATTTAATCATATTTAAAGCAAAAAAATGTACAATTTACAAACATATAAGAGTAAAGAAACTGAGATCACTGTGCCGAGTAACAAAGTGGAAATATATATAAATATAGTATTTATATAGGTTCGGTGCGTCCGATTGCAACCAAAATACGAGGTGCACATCTACATGTTATAGCAGTCCTATATACAAAATTTCAACGTTCTGAGGCTACTCGTTTTTGAGTTATGCGAGATACGTACGTACGTACACGTTCGTACAGACGCCACGAAAAATTCTCTTCAGAATTAATTTTAAAGCAGTTTTATAATTTTTTTGGAATAAGCGAGTCTTTTATTCTGTCCTTACGAACAGATATCACGCAAAAACATCGTTAAATTGCATTCGATAGCGGTCAAAATGGATATTTTCGTTGAAATATGCTGCCTGAAACTTTTCGTGATTACAATACTTCCTTTTTACTTCGTACAAGGAAGTAAAAAACGCTTATCAGCAATGTAAATACAGAATCAAAACACGAGCGAAAATGCGTTAGTGAATTCATAACACACAGCTTGAAAACATGCTAGAACTTTGTCTTGTTGCCATCATAAAAATACTTTTTGGTCTTTAAAATGCAAATAAATAACGTTTAAAGCCCCGAAAATAAAAGTAAACAACTCTGACACACCCACTTCGGCCTTTTTAATGTTTACGTCTTGTGCACTTCCGGTATGCTTTTTGAAGACAAGGTGTCAAATAAAGTATCATAACTCCGGTTTAAATGAACGTAGGAACAAAATTTAAACAGTTTTGGAAACATAAGAAATAATACTTTCATCGAGCTTAAAACAAATAGAGTTTTATGACCAAAATCTTGGTTTCTAAGGTATACAGCCGCTGAAGCAAAGAAGTCGTTTATTGTGAGTATGTAAGGATCTTAAGTTTTACTAACGTTTATTTTATTTTAAATCTTTACTATCACTTCTTATTTTCTACTTCCGGCCAGAATTATAAGCGTGAAGGATTTTATGCAAAGTTTGTCTGGCGAACGCCAAGTACTTAAGTTGTGGCTTTTTGCCAAGCAAGTAAGAGAGGAAGTCAACGCAGGCCGCTTACCTTAGAAGTTACGCAGTTGCTGTTCGCCTTCCAGGCCAGAGGTTTTAATCCTCTTGATAAATTAAACGTATTGTAGTGTTCACAGTCTCTGTGCTACATACGCTTCCTGTTATTATAAGGCCAATCTTCCACGTGTATTATTCTAAAGTTAAATTAGAGTTTAGTTTTATTTTTATACTTTTTTTACGTTAGACCCCGAGTGGAGGGTCAGTGTATTCCGAAGTACGGAAGTTATTGTATATAGAGAAAAATAAAGGGTTTTGTATACCCTTCGTCTGTATCCTGTCTACTTACCACAATTAGTGAACATAGCTTTAGTAAGCTCTCTGTTCCGAGTCAGGTCCTTGTATGTTCCCGAAGAAGGTTAGAAGGAACATTGAACCTGATAGTGGCGCCCAACGAAGAAGAATAACCATGGCCGAGTTTCAAGAAGAACCTGTGCTGCCTGCAGAACGGCTCAGAATCCAGAAATGCCAGCTGCCGCCCTGGAAGGATTTCGGTTACATCGTCCAGACCATGCGCGCTTCGATGAAACCAGAAGCAACGTTTAATGGAAACTCACCGGTAACCAGTTTTTTGGAAAAATTGGATGACCACTTCATGCTCTACCCCGTGCACGAGTTTCAGAAAGTTACCTTAGCTACCAGCGCTTTGAGGGACCAAGCGCTTAACTGGTTCAAATGTATAGGCAGAAGTCTCTTGGGTCAAGCAGGAAGTCCCACCTATACTTACGAAAATTTCAAGACTGCCCTACTAATAAAAGCCTTCCCTGTTGTAAGGGATCGTGCGAAATTAGAAACGGAACTTTTTTAGTATATCAACAAAGAATGGAAAACCTCTCGAGATTTATTTTAAGAAAAATTCACGTTTTCAAGCTCTTGTATGGAAACCGTCCGGATCCTGAAATAATTCAAGTGATTTTGCCGAGGTTACTGCCCCAAGTGCATAGCTTTATTGAATTAAATCCGACTACACTGGAAAAGTTATTTGAGCTAGCAATCCAGTTTGAAAGTAGAAGAACGGCGGACGTCGAAAGAAGACGCCAATATCAACAGCGAAACCAATTTGGTACGCCAAGACTACAGCAAACTCAAGCATACGGCTACGGAGAAAAAGCGAATCAGTGGGCAAGGAAACCCGAGCATTCAAAAACAGCCGGCGAACGTCGACAGTTCAATAGCAAACCCAGGAAAAAAGTCTCAAGGCCAGGGGAAAAAGAAGGAAAGCACGGAAATGAAAAATAATTTAAAAAAACTAAAACGGATTTCTGCTGACGAGAGGGTGCGGAAATCCGAAGGCCACGAAAACCCCTCTTCCTTCAAGTTAAATACAGTAATGGTGAAAAATTTGACTCTTCCGAAGATTGAATGTTGGTGAATAATATCCCAGCCACCGCACTCCTGGATAAGGCGCGCAGTGTTCCTGTGTGGCAGAGAGTTTTTTTAGAAGTATTTTCGTAAATACCGCATATAACGGATAATACGACAGTGTTAGCGGCGCAAGGAGAAAATGTAAGTGCGTATAGGTAAAGTACCTTGTATATCCGTATCAAGGACGAACCAGTAAAGGTGATGTTTTTTATAGTAAAGAATCTGCAAGCACATATATCTTAGGAATAGACTTTCTTTCAGGCGCACAAGCAACACTGGATTTTAATGAAGCGTCCCTTAAGCTGACAAATGAAACCAGTGCGTGTAGAAAAGGTTGAACCGCCAATGTTAAATCTTGACCACCTGCCTAATGACGAGCAAGATAGAATCCGACAAGTGGTAAGTGAATTTGCTTCGTTATTTAGTGATATTCCAGGATTTACTCAGGTACTAACCATAGTATTGAAACCGGAGATTGCAATGCCAGGTTCGTCAAAAACCATACCGGTATGATAAGAATAAGGAAAAAATTATAGAATGGCATATCACCGATATGCTACGTAAAAAGATCATAACGCCCATCTCAAGTAGTTATGCTAGCCCGGTGGTTTTATGCAAGAAAATAATGACTATCCTTTGGAGCATCCAAAAAGGTGGAGATTCGCTATTGATTACCGTAAATTAAATTCCATAACTAAATATCCGGTATATCCGTTACCTATTATAGAAGAAATTTTAAGGAACATAACATCCACCAAATATATGACGACTTTAGACTTAACGAC